GACTGGCTGTGCAGGGAAAGGACACCAGAGATGGGCACAGGTTGCCCAGAGAAGCTGTGGCTGCCCCATCCCTGGAAGTGTCCAAGGCCAGGTTGGAGCAACCTGGGCTAGTGGAAGGTGTCCCTGCCCATGGCAGGGATGGAATGAGATGGTCTTTAAGGTCCCTTCCAACCCAAATCACCCCAGGATTCCATGATTCTTTATTGGGACACGCAGGAAAACTTCAACTTGGAAGTGAACAGCTACAGGCACAAGGTACCAAAAGTCTCTGTTGGAAACCTGGTGAAATGAGCCCTATCATTGAAATTGGGTTTCCCATCTTTGTTTGTGAGGAAGATATGCACCTTTCAATTCCCAAAAAGCCTAAAGGATTCCCTTATCTTCACCTAGTCCATGAAAAAAAACCCAAACCAAACAATCACAAAACAGTATTCTGAAATGTTAAAAACTGCACCACCAGGCCAGGCTGGTGTGTTTTTAACAGATTTGTGATTGTGTGTATTTTCCTGCCTTACCTGCAATGGGAAATCTTCATTTCCAAGGGCCTTTGCAAGAGGTACGAGGTACAGGACACACTAGACCTGTGTCCTTCATTTAGGAATAATGGCCATTGCCATGGGGCTGCAATTTCCAGAGGAGATGCCCATTGTGGGAGTGCTTGCTGCTGGCAAGCAGTTAATGAGAGAGCTTGGAAACAGCTCAGGGAAAACCCAGCTCCCTGCAGGATCCTGAGGTGTGGAGGGAAGAGGAAAAGGAGCCAAAGCTGGGTCCAGCTGTGACCAGCACTGATGTGGGATGGTGGAGGTTTCACTGTCACTCCATGGGCTGAGGGAAGCCCCTGTTGGACCCAGCCCAGGGGGTTTTATCAGAGCTTTGTCACAGAATCCCAGCCTGGTTCGGGTGGGAAGGGACCTTAAAGCCCTTAAAATCCAGGCAAACATGAATTTCAGATGTGTTTGTGCCAATTACTGGCAGGTTGTGCCACCCCCACACTCATCGTGAGGCTCCTGTGAATCCCACCCCACACAACTCACTTTCCCTGAGGTGCTGGATCATAGAAACAGAGAATCATGGAATGGTTGGGATTGGAAGGTTCCCTAAAGCCCATCTCATCCCACCCTCTGCCATGGGCAGGGACACCTTCCACCAGCCCAGGTTGCTCCAGCCTGGCCTTGGACACTTCCAGGGATCCAGGGGCAGCCACAGCTTCTCCGGGCAACCTGTGCCAGGGGTCCCCCACCCTCACAGCCAACAATTCCTTCCCAATATCCCATCTATCCCTGCCCTCTGGCAGTGGGATGCCATTCCCTGTGTCCTGTCCCCCAGGCCCTTGTCCCCAGTCCCTCTCCAGCTCTCTTGGAGCCTCTTTAGGCCCTGGAAGGGGCTCTCAGGTCTCCCTGGAGCCTCCTCTTCTCCAGGTGAACCCCCCCAGCTCTCCCAGCCTGATCCAGAGTAGAGGGGCTCCAGCCCTGGGAGCATCTCCATGAGCCCAATGTCCATTGGCATCCAGGACATACCCATTTGCTGTCTGGGTACAGTTCCAGGAGCAGGATATCTTTGTATCGACACGTTGGCAAGTTGAGGGAGGAAAAATTACGTTTTCTGTAAATGAACTAAATTAATCATGTCTTGAAATGAGTTTAGTCTTGTCAGGGAGCAACAAGGGCTTTGTGCTTCCTGAGGGACCAGGAGCCAAAGGCAACAATAAGGCCAGGGGGACAAGGACCTCACCAGCCCCAAAGCACCTGAGAGAGGTGAGGGCAGCACCAGGCATGTGGTGAGGTGCAGTCAGAAGCCTCCAGCATCAGAGGGCTGTTGGTCCAGTGTCAATCCATGGAATCACAGAATATCCTGAACTGGAAGGGACCCCCAAGGATGAGCCAGTCCAACCCCTGGCCCTCCACAGACACCCCAACAATCCCACCCTGTCCCTGAGTGTGGGGAATCTTGACTGGACTAAGACCCCTGATATGGAACAAAAGCTGGCTGAGAACGGAGGCCTTTGGTCCTGACAAACATGCACCCTGAGAAGAGAAGAAAAACATCAAGAAAGAACTGTCCCATGAGAACAGAGACACAGTCTCATGAGAACAGGGACTTGTTTTTGAACAGAGTGACTGAGAAAAATATAAACATTAAGGAAAAACAGGAGCAGATGTACGGAGATGTTATGAGAAAATAGAACTGAGAAAGTCCACCAATCATCTGTAAGAATTGTGGTTTGTGTATTTAGGATGACCTATCTGTGTGTAGAACGTGTACCTGGAAAACTGTATGAAAGGAGCTGGGACAGTACAGCTCGGGGTTTCTTTTTCTTTCTAATAAACTTTCTTGCTAAATATTCTGTGTCATGACTGTCCTAACAACGACACCTGAGAGCGTTGTCCAAACACTCCTGGAGCTCTGTCACCCTTGGTGCTGTGCCCACTGCCCTGGAGAGACTGTTCAGTGCCCAACCACCCTCTGGGGGAAGAAGCTTCTCCTGAGATCCACATGTCAGGGTCAGGATCAGCAGAGTCCATGGCCAGTGTGGCAGGAGAGTGTAAAATCTCTCAGAGAATGCACATCCTGCAGGCCACCATGCAAGTTCAACTGCTGGCCCAGGGTGTTATATTGGTGTTAATTATACTAAAACCATCCTGGTTCACCAGACTTTGAATACACATCATGCTTTTGAAGCAGGATTTGACAGATAAGTTCGTAGGTGGCCTGGAAAATTTGTGACTGTCACTTTATACTATAAAAGCCCAGTCCCCTTTCACACAGGCAGGTTCTTCCAACAGAACCCTTCTTGGGGGGATATGGAGATTCCTCCCCTGGCCCCCAAGGTCACTCCTTGAGGCTGAGAGCAGAGATCTCCTCACAAGCCTCAGTCTGGGTGAGTGACATCAAATCTCTACTTAAAAGTTATTCCTTTTTGCCAGTTTTAATATAATTGCTTCAATAATTTCTTCAATGTAGTGCACCAGCCTATCTTATATCTGGTAGTTTTAGCCTTTATATCGTGTAGTAAATAATTCTGATTAAGATCTTTTGTCTGATCATTTGTATAAATAAACGATTCTTTTTATATAATTATTCTCATTTTGCCAATCATTAAAACAGAAATGGTTCAGTGGCAATCCTATAATTCCTTAAATTTATCACATATACCACAGATATCACAGATAGATATCACAGAATCACAGAACATGCTGAGTTGGAAGGGACCCACAAGGATCATCCAGTCCAACCCTCAGCCCTGCACAGGACCCTTCCCAAGAGTCACACCCTGTGCCTGAGAGTATCAATATGCATCTATATAAATCATGTATATATGATATAAATCCTATTTATATGTACAAATAATGTATATGTATTATTTCTATATCACCAATCTGTTGTTAAACCTTTTTTTCAATAAAACCCCAAATCCTGGGCTCATGGGCTAATGACATGTCAAACAAAAGAGTAAAACCATTGTGCCTCTGTACTACTTATTTTGGAGAAACCTAAATATGTCCCAGCTGTCTCCAATACGGAATATTTCCTCTCAAATGAGGCTTCTCATTTGCTTCCTGAATTCCTGAGCTGGGCAATGCCAGTGGCCACCCCCTCCCTTGCCATCCAAGCCCACCCTGCTGGGAGCAATCCTGGCTACAGGAACGTGCAGCCGGAGCCCCTTTGGCTCTCAGCTCCATCTTTTGACTTTCAAAGCTCCCTTCAACCACACAAACCCAGCAATTAAAGGAGCCAGCTGGTACTGGGACACAAAGGCTGACAATAGTGCCTGAGAGGACACAAAGGACACCCAGGAGGACAACAGAGAACTGGCTGAGCTGTGCAATGTGGGGCTGGGGAAGGGGGAGAACCCCCCTCACCTCGAGCTGGTTCAGAGGTGGAGAGAGGGGAAATTAGAGCTGCCAATTGCTTTCCCTCCCCCCTTTGTCACTGCCAGCCCAGCAAGGAGGTGACAGTGCAGCTGAGCCCTGTCCCTGGGACACGTCACTGCTCTCCTGCACCTTTCATCCCACAGCCTGCCCTGGTCACTTCCTAATTCCTTCTTTCACTACTTAAACACCTGCACCTTATCCATCCTCTCAGACTGTTTCATTTGAGGTGCTGTTCCTCCCAGTCCAGGAGCCAACACAGCTCTGAGCACAAAAAATCCACCTCAGTTCCCTCCAGCCAGAAAAACCAAACCTTGACGTGTTCCCTGTGCAGGGATCTGCTCCGAACCAGTGGCTGGGCAGCAGCAGGGACCTTCCTGAAGACTTCCAGGTGCATCTTTTTCTCCTGCCTGTGGCAGGAAAATGGCAGGAATACCCTTCAAGGCAGAGATATTGAAGAACAGTGCTGGGGAAAGCTTTTCCTTAAAAAGGGGAGCGTTTTCCTTAAAAGGTTCTTCCCCCAGAGGGTGGTTGGGCACTGACCGGGCTCCCCAGGGCAGTGGGCACAGCCCCAAGGCTGCCAGAGCTCCAGGAGGGTTTGGATGATCCTCTGGGGCACAGGGTGTGACTCTTGGGGATGGTCCTATGCAGGGCTGAGGGTTGGACTGGCTGATCCTTGTAGGTCCCTTCCAACTCAGCACATTCTCTGATTCTGTCATGGATTGACCTCTGCAGCCTGAGCTACAGCACTTTGCTGTAGCTGCTGTTATGAAACACAAAATCCTTTGTGTGCAGTCCCTGCTGTGCAGAACCCATTTGAAGGGGGCAGCAGGGAGGAGAATTGCTCTGTTCCTTCCTGGCTGAGGCTCCCTGGGACAGGGGGATGCTCTGGGGGAGCAGCCCAGGAGGGAGAGGCTGCCCAGAGAACCACAACATCTTCTTCCCACCCCTTCTGCCACGTTCTGAGGTTTCTCTAAACTGGGACACTGAGCCAGTGCAAGGAGAGGGTTGAGAAATATTGCTTGCTTGGCTTAATAAGTAAGTTTTAAATAAGAATAAGTCACTTAGAGTTACACTATTGTGTGATTTACCAGGCTGCTTTCTTGGCTTTCCTTGCTGAGCATGAGTAGCTGGATTTGCTGAAGCCTTGGGTCACAAGCTCTGAACTTTCACCCAGCTGTGCTTTTGACTGGAACACAGTTCATCTCCTCAGTAATTTTTCTGGTAGCTGGTGCAGGCTGTGTCTTGGATGCAGTATGAGAGTAATGCTGAGAACACACTCATGTTTGGGTTGTTGCTAAGTGGTGCTTACCCTAAATCAGGGATGTTTGGATTTCCCATGCTCTACCAGCACAGAGCAGGAGACAAGAAGGCTCCAGCCATCAGCAAAGCTGCAAATCCACAAGATGAGAGAGGTCAATATCTGTGTGGACACAGGGAGGGAATCCAAGAAGGTGTTAGAAGACTCCAGACCAAAAATCCCCATTGGACCAAGAGGTGTGTGAAGAGCACGTGCAGAGACTGTAAGGGCAGAAAATCCAGGGATCTCTTTGCTCTGGTCCTTGTTTGAAGGCACCAGGTCAGGTTGTTTCTATTGCTGGAGCACTCAAATATTAATTTTTTTTCCCCTGGAATGGGCTATCTGAGATTCTGCTGCAGGAAACCCAGGGAGAAGAAATTTCTTTGACAGTTTGGTGACCCCAAACCACCACCACTGGATCTGCAAACATCCATTGCCAGCAACGTGTGAGTTCACATGGGACCTTTGGGATGGGAGGTACTGAAGGGTGAGTGTTAAAATTCCATGAGCAGATTTGGTGAAAATCCTGCAGTGGGTTTAAGTCCTTCTCTATGTTGGGGTGGGGTTGAGTCCCTCTCCTGCTGCAATTTGCTTCCCAATGTGCCTGATCAGCACAAGGCACACGTAGAAGAGGATTCAAATCCCTCTTAGTACCTAAAAATGATGGGAAATAGAGCCAGCACAGAGAAAGAGATGCCCTTGACTGAGGTAACACAAAATTGGAGAGAAATCTTTGGCACAGCAAGTCTATCAAGAAAGCACACGAATATTTCCTGTGGAGAAGATGAGCCATTTACAGCCAGAGATGGAGCCCTGGCAGACCTTTGAGGGACATTTGACCAGCACAGATTCACTTTACACATCAGCTAAAGACTGTGTTCCCAGGACAAATGGATTATTGGTATTATGGGATAATTGGGCACAGGACCACCATAGAGAACGTTGGAAGGAAATGGGAGTTCCCAGAAATGAGGAGCAACAAACCTACGAGGAGCTTGATCTGCTCTAATTAGTGAGGGGGTCATCTGCAGCCCCACTCACCAAAATTTGGGCATAGCTCAGGGGCACAGGCTCCACCAGAGTGTTTTGGGCACTCTCAGATTCTGGGCCACTCCTGGAGATACTGAAATGAAGGGGTGGTGTGGGGAGGGTACCTGTACCTGGTAGGATCTGAGGAAGGCATTGAGGTGCATAATCCCCCTGGATTTGGTGCATAAGTGAGGGCATGGCCATGCCCTCCTCTTTGGGGAGCATCTCTGATGTATCTCCCGTGCTGTGACAGCCCATGGTTAACATTTCTGGCTCACAGGGTGTCATGGACACCCACGCCCCAGCCCCCCAGCTCCCCATTTTCAACACTGCTGTGCTGCTGGAGCCAGGAGATCACCAGCAATCCTTCCTTTGGCTGCATCCCTGGCCAGATGCTGCAGAGGGGTGAGGCCTGGCCGATTAATCTGTGCTCAGAGAGGCTGCTGGATTAGTGCTTCATCTGCTCTCAACATCTGCAGCTGCAGGACAGCCCCAAATTCATCAGCTGGAAGCCAGAAGGAGCAGCAAGGCAGGTAAGAGCTCTTTCTTAGGGAGGGTTGATGATTGAATCACCTCTGTCAGGTAGCAAGATGAGGGAGGTTTTATGGGAAAGGTGGTGGTAGTGCCATTATCTTGGCACTTCCAAACCTGTCACACAGTTCTTTGGCTGTGTCTGTGAGTCCCAAGTGTAAGGGGGGTGTTGTTGGCTGTGAAGAGGGAAAGGGGGGGCTGGAAGGACCACGTGGAGCAGGCACAGTGAAAATGTGGCAGTCCTCAAGGTCTCAAAGCTCCAGTTCCTTGTGTTTGGAGGTGGGGTGAGGATGGCCCTGGGAAATGAGAAGTCTGTGCCCCACCGTACTGCCCAGCCTGGGGGCACAGGGGACACCTCCTGAGGGGACTGGGCAGTGCCCTCAGGGAGATGGGAATGGCCCCAAGGGAGTCCAGGAGTCAAGTGGTTCTTTGAAGGGGGAAGGAAGGGACAATTTCTGAAGCTGAGCCCTTGGAGAGCTGGGAATGGCCCTCAAATCACCCAAGGAGTCAAGTGGTTCTTTGAGGGTAAATACAAGGTGCTGCCAAACCAGAGGGAGAGACATGGAAGGTGTTGCTGAGGATTTACCTCACAGGGTTACTGTGATTTGGGCTGGAAAATCACCTCATTCCAACCCCCATGTCCCCATCCAAAACCAGCCCCTCCCTGCTGTTCTACTTACCTGAGCTGGGCTTTGTTACCCTGGACTTCCCTCCTTGCTCTGCCTCTGCTTTTTTCCTGCACTAACTGCTGGTTTCTCTTCATTACAGGGGTTTATGAACCTTTTATTTGTGCAAACAGGCAGCACGGGGGATGAGAAGAGAATCCTGAGCAGCCATGGAGGGGTTACAGCTGCGGGTAAGGCTCACCTCGTGCGGATCACAACCCTCCACCATCCTCCAGAGCCAAAGGGAAAGAAATCCCAGTCGTGTCTGGCGAGCTGGGAAATGACTCCCTTGTCTGTCGCTGCGGGGAAACTCCAGGAGGCTGCTCAGGATTAAGCCCAGAGAGCGCCTGAACCATGGGTTTATCTCCCCACCTCCCCTTCCCCGAGCAGCCCGGCCCCGGAGCCTCTCGGGGACTGTCCCTCTGCTGCCTTAATCGCCTCGTGCTCCGGTGTCAGGAGGAGATGAAAGCGCTATAAATAGATGGTGAAGCCCTCTTGGTTTCAGCCGTGATTCACACACATGGCACAGAAGCATTAGGGAGAATTAACATCCAATCCCTCGGGCACTTTTCCTGAGTGCAAACGCCGCTCTGTGTCCGTCGTCCCCATCCCCCCTCCCAAATCCCCCGTCCCTTAATCCCTTAATAACAGGGGGGGGGGATGTTCAGCAGCACCATCGGGAGGGTTTGGGTGGCTCCAATGGACGGGGAGACTCGGAGAGGGACTTTTGGGAAGCTAAACCCGGCCGCCGGGATCGAGCAGCACCCGCAGTGACCCGCGGGTGGATTTAGGGGATGGTGGGACTCCGTGCTCCCCCCCCTGCCCGGGGCAGAGGAGGGTCAGTGTGTTCCTCACACCCCTGGACGTGGGACAGCAACAGCCTTTGGGACTGAGACACTCCTGCTGCGGGTATGTGAGGGGGCTGGGGGTCTCCTGCCTCTCCCTGAGCAGTGTTGGGATGTTCCTGGTCCAGGGTGGGTGGACGGCACACCTGGGTGGCCCACGGGAATCCCAAACACTTCCCCCTCCCCATCCGAATTCTTCAAAGCTCGGGGGGAAAAAACGTATCATGCTGACAACCTGCTCCCCTGGGGAGCCGTGTGAGCTCGTTCTGCATGTATTTGCATTTATTTGCATGCGTTTAAGTGCTTGGAAGCCCCCCCTCGCCCCCCTCTGCCCGGCTGTGTTCGTGTGCGAGCAGAGACGGTCACTGAGCAACATAAAACCAGCCGAGAGGGAGGTGAGACCAGACAGGCCCTGGAGTGGGAGGTGTGAGGAGTCTGTTTATAGGGATTTATCCATCTGCTTCCCTCACACTCTCCCAGGTACTGGGAAACAGTGGTGGTTTTTTCCGAAAGGTGGTTTAAAGGGTAGAGCATCTCCTGAGAGGGGATGAATATTTCTCACACTTTCGGATATCTGGTGTCCCATCAATAAAGGAGAGATCCTGTGATAGTTTCAGTCTAGGCCTTCCTGGAGACCAGCTTGGAACCAGGAAGGAACTAGGGAAGTGACCAAGAAGTATTCCATGCTATTCCTTCATGCAAACTGAATTATAAGTAAGCTGGTCAGAGAGACCTCCCTCCTCTCTTCTCTTCTCTTCTCTTCTCTTCTCTTCTCTTCTCTTCTCTTC